TCTTGTAGAACCGCTCGAGGCCGCCGTTGAGCATCGTCTCGAGGTTGTCAGCTCGCAGCGTGCTGTACCGACTTGCCATCGTGTCACCTCCTCGATGCGAGTACGGGTCCTGCAGACTGCGGAAGTTGAGTGAGCGGTACACGCCGGGCACCTCTTCGCCAGCATCGTTGGCCTCGGGCTGCAACAAGTTCATCTTGAACTCCGTCGAAGTGGTAGTCGAGAGTCGAGGCAGTTAAAGGTCTCGCGGGGCGTGTGTCGTTCGGCTGGGTAGTCAACCGAACGGGGTCCTCGGCTGGCCGAGGGGAATTCAAGAGTGATAACTGAAGAGCTCTGTGCGCGAGGCAGACATGGAGAAGAGAGGTGTCCTCTGGGAGAGGAGCGTTTTAAAGGACCTTATGGAGGACGATATGTATGGGGATTGGTAATGCCACGCCGATCTTATCGTTGATACTAGCTAAAAGTATCAGAAGAAGTAAAATAGGTCGAATCGTCTGTGAATCGCATGCTACGTTGGATACATGCTTAGCCGCACCAGATGTTCCGATTTGAAACTTCCAAAGTCGCTAGCGCCACGATCGGTCTTACAGCAGGTTGTAATCTAGCCGTTCATATGTGCGCTTCCTGAGGTATATGCGCGGTGTTATTGCTGCTGTCTGCTAACGTACTGACCGTATGTTGCCAGTCCAACCTGAGCTTCACATTTGTTGCACCTGTTTGGTTTGGAAGATACTATCATTGATAACCTCAGATTATCGGTCGGACAACTGACAAATTAATAATCTGTCTGTAGTCCGACGGGGCATAGCTCAGCATGTAGTTCACGCTATTGAGGGTAATACTTTATTATTTGAGTACCACCTTCACTCGCAGTTAACTTGGTTTTCGATATTCATGCTCGAGTGCATAGTCGATTTTTTTAGAATCCTCTTATCCGTTTTTAGAGTTGTTCTTAGTTTTAGCTTTTTTGTTTTTCACCTAGCTCATGTTCATATTTTAAAAATAAAGCCTGAAAGCAATAGCGAACAAAATAATGAGTCACAGCTCGACTCTGGCCTCGATTGTGGCTTTAAGAGACGACAGGACTCTCTGAGACCCTGGTGCCAAGTGCTGCAAAGCGGATCAGCTACGTGTGACCACTGTTTGAAGAAGTCTGAGCCTTCCAGCGCTGCCGACTGAAAGCCAACGTGGCACGGTGTCACCAATCAGATTTGGGAAGAACCAGAGCTTCTCTATTCTAATGAGCAGAATTTACAAAGTTGTTTCCAGAAAGTTCGCAAAGCTTTGGCCTTACTGGCAGCTGTGGTTCAGGTGGACCGAGCAGGCTCAAGGTACCTGCTAGCAGAACATTGTGGCGTGGATCTCGGAACGGAGGGGCAAGAAACGTTTGAAGAACACATTCCGGCTGAATTCGTGCTGTATTTCCTTCAAGACGCAAAGAAATGCCCCAGAGTCTCTCACAAATGATATTGTCAGATTTTGTGGCGTTCATCAACGCGAACACACCAGTTCCGCTTATTTAAAAGCACTAAAGCGAATTGCATCGTCCGACGAACACTTGACGACAACCAAATCCGGATCGACATCGATACTCCAGTTCGAGTGCATTTTTCAATGATGCAACCCGCTTCTTTCGAGTCTTTGTGGGAAGAATTTGAACCACTGAACCAGAGTAGCCACTGGTTCAGTGAAAAATGCGTGGAACAAGAGTGGGAGACACACGGACAAAGTCGGAAGAAACGAAATGTCGAGCCGTGTACTTGAGATGCACTTTTGTGCTAGAACCCATGATCGCAAGTTTCCATGGCACCAAGGTCACACCCGAACTGGCCGAGACAATTCAGGCTTTAGTGCGGGATAATACGTGGTTTTCGAATGTCTCGCTCTGGTTCATGAATTGTCAACCTGAAGAGAACGAATACACGTCACGGACCACAACCGGACAGTTGGTGTCCTCCATCTTCGGGAATACTCGACGCAGTCATAAACTCGCCAACAGCCGCTACTGTCGTGAAGTGGATGAGCATACACTCTCGCTCCACTTTGGATCGGTTATCTTGGAGTGCGATGGATCCACAAATGCGACAACTTCGAGGGCACGGGATCGGCACTCGTGGTTAATCAGAGTACCAAGAAACTGGAAATGCCGCTGGAAATGGACTTGGAGGAGCCGACGACCAGTCAACACTGGTGGAAATGGCTGGCTTACGCTCTGTTCTCGAAACGTGCGCGTGCGTGCTCGGCACTGTAACCTCTAGCGTTTATTCAGATCGGTAGTATGAGTGTAGTAGACATCGAGGCGCTTTCGTCCATCTTAACGTCCGAACACCCGAAGAAGTTTTTTTTGGGTGCAGCTGAGGTACGGTCGATGACGGGGATGCGACAATAAAAGCAGACGCTCTGATTTACTACAAGCTCAACAAACGAGGCCAGCCATCGAGAGGAGCCCAACATTTAACCTTCGAGACGTTGATAAAGTCAGCTCGTATCTTCAGTGACGACGGCAGTAGCGAATGGATAAACGCTCTTGTCCCAGACTACGGTCGATGTTACGTGCAACGCACAGGCTTGGAGCTTCAAGATACGACTGCCGACTCAGCTAGTGGCGTGATGGACCTTAAAATCGAGTTTGTAAAAGACATGGAGTCGATCTTGGATAGCTTGCCGAGTTTCCTGGCGGCAATTGGCTACTTGTTGAAGACTTCCACAATTGATATATCGGAGATCGAGTTCGACGTGAACGAAATCGTCCGACAATTGCCCCAATCTGAAGGAATTGTTGATCTGTGGAGGGAATATGGTGGACATTGTTGCACAGGAAAATTACCGTCCAGCTTTTCAAGCGGGACTACGTGCGCATCTGGACATGCTGCTGGTCAATAAGTCGCTGGAATATCTTGATGTGGTGGTGTCAGTTGGACACCTTATCTACCTAGATGACTTTAGACGCCATCACTTGGAGCTATCATCCAGATATTTGCGTTCCTAACCCCGTGTGTACTGTGTGAAGTGTACTTACGCGATCCACCGGATGGTACGGAAGAGGAACCTGATATACTACCCACTTAAAGTTACAGACCAGTAGAGGGAGCAAACAAAGAGATTGAGATTGGAGCTCCTGTTTGTGTTCTGATTTTGCTTTGATACTAAAAATCAGATACTTGTCTACGCTTCCTGTGCTAGTGACGCTAATTAGTCGAACTCATACAACAAAGCCCAAAATATTGGTATTTTTTGTTCCATTTTCCGGTCCAATTTGCAAAATGCGGTGTACTGCAATAAAGAGCTCGATGAGAATAAGAGATTATGAAATATCCGTACAATCTGTGAAAATTCTACACCACTTTTAGCCAGAGTCCTGTTCTTCTTTGCAAAAACAATGACTGGCTAGTAATGTAATTATGCTTTGCACTCATTCTGTCTAAACGATGTCATAACTCGTTGTTTTAGCAAATCTTGAAAAATAATCCAACATTGATTTACCTACCGTAATCGTCGAATTAACGTTGAATTACCCTTTATTCGAAGAGTTAATGTTGTCTTATAGTGTTTTCGTTGAATGGTGTCGGCAAGCGTACGGCACGGCTTCAAGCTTTGGTCGCGTCAGCGTACGGTGAATCCAAGCCCTTGGCCAATGCAGGCGCTAGGGATGGCGAGGCACGCGCCTTCATCCCTGCCAGCGAAGGTGAGGTTTATGCCACAGAGCTGGAGTGGATCAGAGGCACACTGCACGGACTACAAGTGGGCGTTGGCACGCGCCCACGACTGCATGACCACTGAGCCTGGATGGAGACGCAGGGGAGGTTAGCTCGGCACAATTTGCCTGTTTGCATTTCAATCATTAATAAACTTTCCTCCTTGGAAATAAGCCCCGGGTAAACGCGACAAATGGCTGTAGTAAAAGCGCCAAACCAGCGTCGTACACTCTAACTCTTTCTTAAGCCCGTGCAACTACATTCCAGAAGATGACAATTTCTATCGATATGCGTTGGAGATCGATTGTGCTGACCTACACTCACCGCATTGACCTAAGTGGTGTTGCGTTCGTTGTGGGGGTCTCGACAAGGTCTATTTCTCGTTGAGGTTTACTGTTTCGTCGTAGAGGTAATGTGATGCCGAACACGCGAATTAAAAGGAAGACACGATGGCCGACAGAATCTTCATTAAGTTCGTCGAAGGTGTCGTAGAGAAGCACTCATGCTTCTATATTGAAGAGCTTCATACCTCTATCCAGTCTACATTTCCGTCACTACTAAACGTTTCGACGGCTACTAGATGCCGCGTTCTTCGTTTTGACCTCAGCCTTAACGCAAAGTCTTCACAAACCGAGCCAGAGAGAGCGTTCCCGCTGAAATCGACACTTAATTACCGAATCCATCATTGTGTGAGAAATCAAAGGCAATAGGAGGCTCATACGTCGTTCTACTGCTGCCCAATCTTAACGTGGAGCTGGACTTGCAGTTTGCAATGGCAATCCCATTGTCGTACTATCTGTCACGGAATCTTCAAGACGAAGGCTGAAATCGACGCTGGAACTGCTTCTTCAAGTACAAGCGCGAATTAACACCTTGAACACGGCATCTGTGATTCGCTGTTGGGTGTGCAGTTTGAATGCGTGTTCAAGGTGAAGACTACGTTCAAATTGCACATTCAGCATTACATGTTTGTATAAGAAACACAAGAGCAACTGAGCGGATAGCTCTAACTAGCTTTAGCGCAGACAATTTAGTGAAGCGTCTAAATTCAATCAGATCTCATTTTACCAGCTAACATTTTACCTGCTAACTAGCAAACCAACTGACAGAGTACTGCGAAGGCATCTTGCCTGAGTCCGTCAGTAACCCGACCTCTGCTAAGTGCTACCATATCATAGCGTGACGACACTATTGTGACACTAGCACACGTAGCAAATTAGAAAAGCATCCCGCTTCGAATGAGAATAGACCTTAGCTACTTACCGATTGGCTCGTGAAGGAGAAGGACAATGTGCAGGTAAGCACTTGTTCATGCCTACAAGCTGGGGAAGAAGTAGCCGGGCATAACCTTGTCGCTGTGGTTTTGCGTTGTAGGTGCAGTTTTGCTTTGTCACTGAGTATGATTAGCTTATTTTTAACGGTTCTAGCTTTAGATTCACGACAAAGATTTGTCGTTGTTTTAGAGGCTCTAATTAAAAGCCAAAGTTGATGCAAAACACAATAATTCAAGAAATATTGCAAAAACCAAAATGAATTAAAAAATAAATAAAAAAATAAAGGAGGTACATGTTAGTTGGGTTCAATATTATAACTCAATTAACCGCAACGTTATTGTTTAAATTACAAAACGCATCAATCCGGTTGCTGGAACACGACCTTCGGGTTTAGTGAAGCTCAGTCATGTGTTTAATCCAAAAATCGGATTAGAATTGTTTGATGAAACCAAAAAGTGATTTCACCAAACAATTTACTGTGGTTAACTTTAATTCGCGACGTTTTGTGTAGGTTTTGGAAGGCGCCAACTGTTGAATAAAGCTAAAAAAAAATACAGTTTTCTTAGAAGTATCAAAACTATTAACTGTAAACTTAAAAAAAGAACTGGATATTAGTAAATTATAGATTCTTGAGTCTATCATTTACTAATATCCAGTTTTTTTTGTGAGTATCCGATAGCAAAAATAAAAACTAACCCAGAAACGAGAACTCATTCAACTTGTGCTAACACTGTAAACTCGTCCAATACAGTTTGTCCGATTTCCACTTCAATAAAGAGACGACCGATGTCGTCTTAGCAAACCCTCCCTTGAGTAGGACGGTATATCAGGAGACTGTGGTGTCGGAGGACACGTTGCAGCAGCGGTGGTTTACTTGGTCACCTTGCACGGTACTTGTATTTAAGTAAGTTTTATTATTATTAGCTTTCTTATATAATACATATCTCCGCAGCACGCACAGTGTTTTTTGTGGGACAGGCCCTATTAAACGAGCAAGGGGCCACACAATAGAGAAAGGGGTCCGAATGTTTAAAACTTTTTACACGTGATTTCACTATCAATAAAAGTAGTCGGCATTAATCCCTCTGATGTAATAAATATCTGATCCCGTCGCGAGTTGCTGAGGACCAACTTGGACACAAAGGGGAAACAACACGGTTTCTTAATACGAAATCCAATCACAACAGAACAATCGTCTAAAAAGAGCAAACTCCAGTTACATGTAGCATCGGGCTGCAGGCCATTGGTGAACTTCATGTACAGATGTACATTACACAGACAAGAATTCGCGATCAGGTTGGACGCACAGCCCAAAACGATATCTTTGTCTGGTTGTTTTGGGCTTCGCGCAAGAGCCAGGGGTCCATTTCCGAGAGAAAGGGGTCCGAATCCCAGAAGATACGGTACACAACGGGGAGACCAAGCCAAAGCCAGTCCATGTCGGTAGGTAGTTGTCTTCTTCGTGGCGAGAGACCTGCAAGAAGTGTTTGTACATTTATCCAAGCGCGCTTAAATCAGTCAAATACAACAATCTTCATCATCTGAACACAAAGCACTCGCATAACGACGCCATCACTATTGCAGAAAAAAAGTAAAAGGTAATACATTCAATGCACATACACAAAACACACGCAGCTCTGTTCGTAGCCTAACAACTTCCAGTTTTATCTCTTGAGGTGGCTCACATATTTGAGCGTCAGGTAGATAGCTAGCTGTACCACAGCCCAGATCACAATGAGGCCCACCATGAAGTTATACTTGCGATTCGGTCGGAAATCGTACGTCTCCTCAATGTACTGCGCCACCGTCATGTCCGTGGTCTCGTCTCCTGATGTCACAGCGATGATGTCGTCGTTATCACCGAACTGCACACCCACGAGTGCCGCCAGTGAGTAACTCGATGGCATCAGATATGTAAACCACTTGTAACCGCGCCTCATGGCCGTCCGAGGCAGCAAGTAGCCCGAGAACAGGTTGAACAAACACGACAGCGCACCGACAGCCACGTTCGCCACCTTCTCGTTCGGCATTAACACCGCCATCCATTGGCCAATGTACGTACACGCCGCCGTGTAGAGGTAGAAGACGAACATGAAGAAGATGAAGTCTCCGGCGTTGTCACTCCAGCCCACCAGCCAGTACTCGATCGTCACGAAGAGGATGTTTACTAGAACAAGGTAGGGGATCTCCGCGAAGAACAACGACAAGCTGTAGGGTAGTGGACCGTAGTAATTCGACATGCGTTCGCGGTAGAACACGGCGCGTTCGGCACAAGTGACCTCCAGTACCGTCATCAAATTCACAACTCCGATGAAGTCCATACTGTTGTAGATGAGACCGATGTGCGAGTTGATCTTCTTGACACTACCCGCCGACAACTGGTAGAACGTCGTACCGAAGATGACTGCAAAGATCGGGAACAGGAACATCCGCATGAAGTTATACTGCGGGTTACGCCAGTACGTGAGCTGCTGCTTCTTGGACAATTGGCCGAGTTGGTTCCAGAACCCGGTGGCAATGGGTCTGTAGTTGAGTGTTGAGTGGCGTACGAACTCGTCCGATACCTCGCACAATTCCAATGTACGTTCACGATTCTTGGCGCACAACTCGCTGTTCTTGTACTCGACCGAATAGTCCTTGACGTCACGTCCAATACCAGCACCAATCACCTCCAGCATGTACGTAGCAGGGTTGTACTGCGGTCGGATCTCCTCTGTCCCAGGGATCGAGGCGAAGTACTCGAGCATCTTGACTGAGTCCACGCCGAGATCACCAAAGTACGCAGTGTAGCCACCTTTCTGAAGCAACAACAGGCCGTCGAACAGCTCGAAGATGGAAATACTGGGCTGGTGAATCGTACACAACACTGTGCGACCAGTACGAGCAATGGACTGCACGCCTCGCATCACAATTAGAGCCGAACGAGCGTCCAGACCACTCGTTGGTTCATCCAGGAACAAGATACTGGGGTTCGACACAACCTCCACTCCAATTGTCACGCGTTTCTTCTGCTCCACCGACAGTCGCCCCACCATTTCGCTTGAAATCGACGTTAGTTCAAGTAGATCCAGAGTCTCATGCACCAAGTTCATACGCTCCTCCTCTGTAAAGTTCGGAGGTAATCTTAGGTTAGCCGAGAACACCAATGCCTCGTAGATCGTTGCAGCTTCTGAGTGAATATCCATTTGCTCGCAGTACGCGGTGATACGACTGAAGTTTGCAGGATCCTTCAGCTCGCCATTCACGTAGATCTCACCAACAATGCGGCCACCAGTCTTACGACCAGCAATCACATCCATAAGCGTCGTCTTGCCAGCTCCTGTCGCTCCCATGAGCGCCACCATGCGACCAGGCTCGAAGTGTGCCGTCACCTTCTGCAACAATTGCCTCTCTTCACCTGACGGTAGAGTCACAAAGTAGTCCAGATCCTTGATACACAGATTCGACGGAGTAAACGGGAGGCCTCCACCTTTCGCTCCTGATTGATCGGGTGCGCCAGGAGTCTTGACTTGAACGTACACGTTGTCCTCTTCGGGTGCGTTGTCGGTCATTGCCTTAGGTGTAACTCCTTTGTATTTCTCATACCGGATGAAGTGCAGTGCTAGACCATTAAGTGTCGTGAACACGAAGTAGTAGGCCAACAGCACGATCACACCGAACCAAATGTAGGCCGTGCCTTGAGTGATCGAGAAGCTCTCCAGTAGTGCTTTGCTCTGGGCATCAGTGTAGCGATCACTCGAGAACTCCGACAACATGTTACTGCGCAGTGCCCAGGAGATCGGAGAGAACCAATACATCCAGATCCAGTAGTCTGGGATGAGATCCGCTAGAATGATGTTACCCGAGAACAAGAGGAAGAAGCTCACAGAGATCGAAGCCAGCGCTTGTCCGACTGTAATACTCGGTGACAGAGCACTCAGCATCGTCATGTACGCACTGATAGCGTGCTGGAACGCTACAAGCACCAGGAAGAAGACAATGTACTTCTCGAACGTCCGGGTCAAGCCACTCATGAAGTAGAAGAACGTGCCCAACACGAACGAAACCACCAGGTTGACTGGAATCTGCACCACACTTTCAGCGATAGCGTACGACGTCGTACGGAAGAAGTTGCGCGCTCGCTGCTTGTAGAAAACCTTACGGAGCTGGAACGAGATGGTGATCTGCTGCCACGCTTGACGTTGGAACAGAGCGATACTGAAGAAAATCATACGCAGGTAGTATGTCGAGCTCACGTCGAAGTAGATCATACCCATGACGAGTCCAATAATCAGCGCTTCGGCCAATTTCCCCCATAGCAGCGGTGGGTCTCTCAACCAGATCAACTTTTGTCGGTTCAGCAATAGCATCGTACTGGGGACAAATGCCAGTCCGAACTCGGATTTCTCCTTGGAACGGGCCAGGTTGGCCACACTTTTAGCCTTCTTAAAGTCTTCCGGACTCTCGAACTGGTGCTCGTTAAAGCCTTTGCTGATAGCCTCGTGGGTCTTCCGATAGATGTTCGACTGACAGAAGAGGTTGTTGAAGTCCTCCGATGAAACAGCCAAATCCTTGACCGGAACGCTGCCGTTCGCATAGCGATGGCCTCTTCCGGACGTCACTTCGATCAGGAAATCCGCTGGATCTACTCGAGGTGGACAAGTGAACCCGTGGCCTTCGAAGTACTCCAAAATCTCCGTCCTGGGGCCATGGTACACCATGTATCCCTCATTGATCATCAAGATATCGTCGAACATCTCCACCACCTCGGGAGTCGGTTGCAGTAGTGCGATCACAACTGAACCGCCCAGTGTCTTGCACCACGTTCGCATGGACTTGACGATATCAAATGTAGCAGCACTATCCAGACCCGTGGAGATCTCGTCACACAGGAACAGACTCTGGCCACCGACCAGCACTTCGCCAATAGTGACGCGCTTACGTTCACCACCACTCACACCACGCAGCAGTGCGTCACCCACCACAGTGTCGGCACAGTCTTCCAGACCTAAAATCTGGATGAACAGCTCAGTTCTTAATGCTGCAATGTCCCTCATCTCCTCCGGTTGGTCTTCTGGACGTCCATTCACGCACATATCGGCGAACTTGAACGTCTCGCGGACAGTTAACGTCGGGATGTGGTTGTCTGTCTGATCTACGAGTCCTGCGAGCTTAATGAGGTCGATATCTTCTCCTTTCAACCCGGAATAAAGGATTTCTCCTCCGATTTCGGTCTTTGAATTGTCCTGCAATTTACCGGCCAGTGCCTTCAGGAACGTCGACTTACCGGCGCCAGGGTTGGCCAGGATCAGCGTCATTGAACCCGGTTTGATGATGCCGCTCATCGGGTGCAGCGCGTGCTTGGTGGTCATGGGAACCTTCTCCCACGGCGTGAAGATCGAGGCCAGGTGGGTACCCACAGTGCCGTGGGCACCGACCTCGGCCGGCACCTGCACCGAGAATGAGAGGTTCTCGAAGCGTACTTCGGGAGTCGGGAGCTGCAGGTTGATCTTACGCGACAGGTGGTTGTACTTCTTGTAGAAGCGCTCGAGGCCGCCGTTAAGCATCGTCTCGAGGTCGTCAGCACGCAGTGTACTGTAGTGACTGGCCATCGTGTCGTGGCTGTGCGAGTACGGGTCCTGCAGGCTGCGGAAGTTGAGCGAGCGATACACATCGGGCACTTCTTCGCCCTTGTCGGCCTCAGGCCGCAGCAGCTTCATCTGCCCCTCGTCCGACGCCATTGCTAGACTCTCAGAGTTGTTACAAGCTGGGAAATTTGCTCGGTAGGACGCGAATCGAAGAGTGAGAGGGGGAGAACGAAGGTTAACGTAGTAGAGTCAAGAGTATTAATTCGGTGAGCCCAGCGCTGAGCCTAGTGAAGTTGAACGATCATTGAAGGCGTTGGTCCTATATTGAAAGCAACTGAGCGTTGGCGACGGTTCAAGACATGTGGTGGGTGCTCTGTGGTTTTCTGAGTTTCACAATATTGATCAAGACAATCGATCCAAGCATCATTCCGGTGTAACGGAGCTCTTTGGTTGCCTGAAAGCGTGTAAACCCACCCGACGTATCCTGCACGATGCTTCTGGGAACAAACCTGAACCAGCTTCATTAATTTTTTTTTAAATGTTCGCTACGTGGTCAGTTTGATATCTGATGTGCTATTTCTTGTATCAGCTTTTAGCGGATACATGTAGCAGATGCATTCGCTTTTCAAAGACGCCTTGCAAATTGCTGGCTACGTTGAAGTGAGGATAGCTACACGGCACGTTTTAAGCGTGCGCTTGAACAAAAAGTTAAGCGTGCGCTTTAGGGAGACTTGATTAAAATATACATCTTGTGAGCGCGATGGGCCCCACGTCCTTCCTACAAAGGCAGGGCATTTCCCGGCTGACGTTTTTACAACCTGCACCTAGGGCTGTCATCTTTCGTTGGCGGCACTCCGAGTCGGAGTGCCGCCCACACTGATCCGCTGTCCGTACATGTAACGATACCCCATGCGATTTGCGCTCTTCACGCTATCGGCGCTCAGCCGTCTTCACCGCGGCTGACAAGCGGCTCGTTCTGGCGCTATGGCTCGCTGGATACAACGTATTAACTCACGCGCAAGGCTCGCAGACTGCAGAGTTGCGGTGCAACCGAACGGCGGGTTGGGCTTGTGCTCTACTAGTATTGCACTGGAAGTTGCCGTCTTCAACTACGTGGACCGAACTTCCTGACCAGGCTCGCGTCTTCGCCCTTCCCGGCTCTCGCGTTGTTGCGCCGATCAATCGTGTTTTCACGCAACAACTCGTTCGATTAACGGGGTCTTCTGCAACTTCCAGACTGCAAGTCATGGCGCCAGTGCGTGCAATGTGTAGGTTCTCCTGGTCCTTGTTATCAAGATTCTTGACAGCAGAGTTCTCTACCAACGTACAATCGAAGCTACGTCCAGAAACTCGGGAACGACTATCGAGGCGTTGTTAGCGCTTGTGACACAATAGAGTACCGCAAACCAGAGCCAAAAAGGTACACTGGACAAGGTGACGAGCGCCCAGGTTTGGTCAGATTCTTGCCCAAGCTCTTCAAGATACTTCATGGTATAATACAGTTGGCAAAGCACACTTTGAAGAGGAGCTTACTGGTCAACATGATACCAGCCTCGTTCTCTTGCGCCAGAAACTTCAGACTTGCGACTGAAGTTTGGGACACTGCTTAGCTTTGAAATGCTTTAACGAAGCCACCTGTCCGAACGTCGTGGTCGGTCTGCTGTTGACAAGCAATGCATCACTCAGTGCATCACAGTGATTTTTACAGCGATAAACTCGCTTATGTTCGCGGTGCAACAGAGCAGGTGATTTACATAACTCGCAACCATTTCGAATCTTACAGACCTGAATCGAGCCAGTACGCGGAAAGCCCAAAATTTCGCATGTGAGGTGCCCAATCCAAGCAGATGCTTTCCCGTCACCCAAAATAAACCGGAAAAGATATCATTTTGGGCAAAGAGACCGCGACCGCTCGACGCTACTGTGACAAGCATTGGGCCTCTACCGCGACAGGCACTGACTCACTGGGCAAAGCCTTCCAAAGTAGCTCACGAGCAAATGTTCACCTTCCAGCGACATCTACCAGCACTTCGTTATGTCTGCGAACTTCGCCCGTGTGAAGGAGAACTGCGCTTGGGTACATGCAAACCCTTGCCCGACCGGCGACCAGCTTCGCTGCGGTTTGATTTGCTGAACTGTGACGACGTTGAAGCCATGGTACAGCGAGGGCCGGAACAAGGCCTCGCCGCATTGTTTCTGCCCGCGATCCAGCTGGCATGCTCCACGAACGCCGCCGAAGATGAACTTTACACTGCAAATCCAGCCCTCGCGCGCGGTGCTCCGTTTGACAGGCGATGTAAAATGCGGCAGTGATCAACTAGCGATCTGTCGCTGGCAAGTTTGTTGTGCCCACAACACACTTCGGTGCTCGAGGCTATCTTTTTTGATTCGCGACCTTTCAAAATCGTTTCGAAAACCGTTTCAAATGCCGCTCAATCTCTTGTCCTCTCATTTGCAGATAAAACCGGGACAAGCAAAAATGTCCCGGCGCTGCCCCCGTTTGATAACTGAAGTAATACCTCGCAAACAAGAACCGTATTAATAGTACATGGATACCGGTAGAATAGCATCTTGAAACTCTGAAACAGTTTTACAAAAACAAATACAAAGACGACATCCGATGTATTAATGCGCGACTTTATTTTCTAGCAGATTGAATCGGGGGACTAACGTCATTCGTGCAATAATTCACATGAAAATGAAAAGCCTACTAAAGAATACTATAAATATGAGCGAAACTACTATAGTAGTCAAGTGAGTACTATTACTACGATTAGCGGCTGGTTTACGTCGTTGAATCGCTTTTCCCCTACCCTGTGCCACGTACTGTACCGGCATATCAAATCACATCCCTTGAGAGCCGCAGCCTTCATTCCTGCTGGCCGTGTCCGCATCGGCGCCGACGCCACCCATCGCCTCACTCTTCAATTTGCCTCGGTGGACGCCAAGCCAGCCTTCGCCCTCCATCCGAATCGAAGAGCCCCAGTCCCGACCAAGACGACGTCCGCCATGGCCACGGAGGACAAGAAAAACGAGGCCACGGCCAGCCTACTGCAGCCGGAGGCCAACGACAACGGCGAGGAAGTGCCCCAGGTCTACCGCTCGCTCAACTTCCGCAGTCTGCAGGACCCGTACTCGCACAACCACGACACGATGGCCAGCCACTACAGTACACTGCGTGCCGACGACCTCGAGACGATGCTCAACGGCGGCCTCGAGCGCTTCTACAAGAAGTACAACCACCTGTCGCGTAAGATCAACCTGCAGCTCCCGACTCCCGAAGTACGCTTCGAGAACCTCTCATTCTCGGTGCAGGTGCCGGCCGAGGTCGGTGCCCACGGTACTGTGGGTACCCACCTGGCCTCGATCTTCACGCCGTGGGAGAAGGTTCCCATGACCACCAAGCACGCGCTGCACCCGATGAGCGGCATCATCAAGCCGGGCTCCATGACGCTAATCCTAGCCAACCCTGGTGCCGGTAAGTCGACGTTCCTGAAGGCACTGGCCGGTAAGCTGCAGGACAACAAGCAGACGGAGATCGGAGGAGATATTCTCTACTCCGGTCTGCGTGGCGATGAGATTGACCTGGTGAAGCTTGTCGGCCTCGTCGACCAGACAGACAACCACATCCCGACGTTGACTGTGCGCGAGACGTTCAAGTTCGCCGATATGTGCGTGAACGGCCGCCCCGAAGACCAACCCGAGGAGATGCGCGACATCGCTGCTCTCCGCACGGAGCTGTTCCTGCAGATCCTGGGTCTGGAGAACTGTGCCGACACTGTGGTCGGTGACGCTCTGCTGCGTGGTGTGAGTGGTGGTGAGCGCAAGCGTGTGACTGTCGGTGAAGTGCTGGTCGGTGGCCAGAGTCTGTTCCTGTGTGACGAGATCTCCACGGGTCTGGATAGTGCCGCGACGTTCGACATCATCAAGGCACTTCGCACGTGGTGCAAGACACTGGGTGGGTCGGTCATCGTGGCGCTACTGCAGCCGACGCCTGAGGTGGTGGAGCAGTTCGACGACATTTTGATGGTCAATGAAGGTCACATGGTGTACCACGGCCCTCGTACCGAGATCCTCGACTACTTCCAGGGTCTGGGCTTCACGTGCCCGCCTCGTGTGGATCCGGCCGATTTCCTGATCGAAGTGACGTCTGGCCGTGGCCACAGCTACTCGAACGGCACTGTACCCAACAAGGACCTGGCGGTGACGTCCGAGGACTTCAACAACCTCTTCTGCCAGTCGAGCATCTACCGCAAGACCCACGAGGCCATCAGCAAGGGCTTCAACGAGCACCAGTTCGAGAGTGCAGAGGACTTCAAGAAGGCCAAGAGTGTGGCCAACCTGGCCCGTTCCAAGGAGAAATCCGAGTTCGGACTGGCCTTCGTGCCCAGTACTCTACTCCTGCTGAACCGTCAAAAGCTCATCTGGCTGCGTGATCCCCCGCTTCTGTGGGGTAAGGTGATCGAAGCCATCATCGTCGGTCTTGTGCTCGGTATGATCTACTTCGACGTGAGCTCGACATACTACCTGCGTATGATTTTCTTCAGTATCGCTCTGTTCCAGCGTCAAGCGTGGCAACAGATCACCATCTCGTTCCAGCTCCGTAAGGTTTTCTACAAGCAGCGCCCGCGTAACTTCTTCCGTACGACGTCGTACGCTATAGCTGAGAGTGTGGTGCAGATTCCAGTCAACCTGGTTGTTTCGTTCATCCTGGGCACGTTCTTCTACTTCATGAGTGGCTTGACCCGGACGTTCGAGAAGTACATCGTCTTCTTCATCGTGCTCGTGGCCTTCCAGCATGCTATCAGTGCGTACATGACGATGCTGAGCTCTCTGTCGCCCAGTATCACGGTTGGTCAGGCTCTGGCTTCGATCTCTGTGAGCTTCTTCCTGTTGTTCTCGGGTAACATTATCCTGGCCGACCTGATCCCGGACTACTGGATCTGGATGTACTGGTTCTCTCCGGTGTCTTGGGCTCTGCGCAGTAACATGCTGTCGGAGTTCTCGAGTGACCGCTACACGCCTGTGGAAAGCGCTTCACTACTGGACAGCTTCTCGATCTCGGAAGGCACGGAGTTCATCTGGTTCGGTATCATCGTCCTCATCGCGTACTACTTCCTGTTCACGACGCTCAACGGCATGGCTCTGCACTACATTCGCTACGAGAAGTACAAGGGTGTGAGTGTCAAGCCCCTGACGGACAACGCTCCGGACGAAGACAACGTGTACGTTGAGGTGGCTACGCCTGGTGCTGCTGACGGAGCTAACAAGGGTCGCAACAGCGGCGGTCTGCCGTTCACGCCCTCGAACCTGTGTATCAAGGATCTGGAGTACTTTGTGACGCTGCCTTCGGGTGAGGAGAAGCAGCTTCTGCGTGGCATCACGGCTCACTTCGAGCCTGGCCGCATGGTGGCTCTTATGGGTGCTACTGGAGCCGGTAAGACGACGCTTATGGATGTGATTGCTGGTCGTAAGACTGGTGGCCGCATTGTTGGTGACATTATCGTGAACGGTGAGCCGAAGAACCCGGCCAACTTCAGCCGTATCACGGCGTACTGCGAGCAGATGGACATTCACTCTGAAGCTGCGACGATCTTGGAGGCTCTGGTGTTCTCAGCCAACCTGCGTCTTCCCCCGAACTTCACCAAGGAGCAGCGTATGAACCTGGTGCACGAGACTTTGGACCTACTGGAGCTGACGTCGATTTCCGGTGCGATGGTTGGCGGCCTATCCGTCGAGCAGAAGAAGCGTGTGACGATCGGTGTGGAGGTGGTGGCCAACCCCAGTATCTTGTTCCTGGACGAGCCCACGAGTGGTCTGGACGCTCGCTCGGCTCTGATTGTGATGCGCGGTGTGCAATCGATTGCTCGCACTGGCCGTACGGTGCTGTGTACTATTCACCAGCCCAGTATTTCCATCTTCGAGCTGTTCGATGGTCTTTTGCTGCTCCAGCGTGGTGGTTACACTGCCTACTTCGGTGACCTCGGTGTGGACTCGGTCAAGATGCTCGAGTACTTTGCCTCGATCCCCGGCACGATGGAGATCCGCCCGCAGTACAACCCTGCTACCTACATGCTTGAAGTGATTGGCGCTGGTATCGGCCGTGACGTCAAGGACTATTCGGTTGAGTACAAGAACAGCGAGCTGTACAAGTCGAACCGCGAGCGTACGCTGAAGCTGGCTGAAGTGTCCAGCGACTTTGTGTGCCACTCGACTCTGAACTACACGCCGATCGCCACGGGCTTCTTGAACCAGCTGAAGGAGCTGGCAAAGAAGCAGCAACTCACGTACTGGCGCAACCCGCAGTACAACTTCATGCGTATGTTCCTGTTCCCGTTGTTCGGTGTCATCTTCGGTACGACCTTCTACCAGCTCGAGGCTGACAGCGTCAAGCGCATCAACTCGCACATCGGTCTCATCTACAACAGTATGGACTTCATCGGTGTCATCAATTTGATGACGGTGCTGGAAGTGACGTGCGCTGAGCGTGCTGTGTTCTACCGTGAGCGCATGTCGAACTACTACGGTCCGCTGCCCTACAGTCTGTCGCTGTGGTTCGCTGAAGTGCCCTACCTAATCATCGTGATCGTGCTGTTCGTGACGATCGAGTACTGGCTGGTTGGCTGGAGTGACAACGGAGGCGACTTCATCTTCTTCATGTTCGTCTTCTACCTCTACACGTCGGCTTGTACCTACGTGGGTCAGTGGATGTCGGCTTTGATGCCGAACGAGAAGGTGGCGAACGTGGCTGTCGGTGCTCTGTCGTGTTTGTTCAACCTGTTCTCGGGCTACTTGCTGCCGCGTCCGGCCATGAAGGCTGGCTACAAGTGGTTCACGTACCTGATGCCGTCGAGCTACTCGCTGTCAGCGCTTGTTGGTGTGCAGTTCGGTGAGGTGCAGGACATTATCTCTGTCACGGAGGGCGGTGTCACGACGGACATGACGGTGGCGCAGTACATCGAGGATACGTACGACTTCCGACCGAACCGCAAGTACAACTTCATGGTTGGCCTCCTGGTGATCTGGGCTGTGCTGCAGGTGGCAATCTACCTCACGTTCAAGTACGTGAGCCACCTCAAGAGATAAGCGGCGATCGTTGGAGCCAAACGTTGCTGCGGTGGCGCAACGTAAGATTGATGAGTAGCTGCGAATGATAGCGGCTGTGTGCATGAACTTTGCTTTTGAAAGTAGATCTGTTTGATTTTACACTTGTTGGATTTTTTTTTTGTTTGCGTCGCGCGGAACGTGTAAGAGCATCTGCAATTTTTTTACGCGTGAGGCTACGAGAGTTGCCGCCTGCAAAGTTCGCAAGCAACAATGCTAAAATGCTGCCAAATTGCAATGTTTGTTACTGGAAAGTTGCAAAAGATACAACCTACCAAGTTGATAACCAAAATACCGTAGCCTGTAAACGAACACTGTTTTGGGCACAACATCATTTTTTTTTATCATATTGCGATATTCGGAATAGTAAGAATCACTCGTGATGCTAATCGAGATGAGGATGAATAAAGACTCTTACTTCAGCTTGCATTAGAAAAAAAATACAATTATACGTTTCTGGTCCTCAGCATGTCTTATCGTTGTTTGTTCCAACTGTGTCCTACGATTAGATCTCAAACGGGGATCATGGGTTACATTTACATTTACACTCCAGAAATAAAGCGACAACGTTGTGGTTACATATTCATGCACAGAGAACGACGGTGAAAATAATCTCTATCCGAAAAACACTCATACCAATAAAAAAAAGTATTATTTCAAGTCTACGCTCCTGGAAAATCCGCCCCGTTGTCTGACTGGTTGAAAACTGATATGTCTGTACAAAACGACTCATAAAGTACAAATATTATACGAATCCTTCGAAACTTTTGAGTCGCACAAAATGGGCACTTTGACGGATTTTGATTATGAGAATATACATTTAAAAATGTACAGAACGCCCAAGTGCATATGTATGTTCATATATACAACCATTGTATTCACGTCGAGTGTGCGCGTACGATAATGTACTATACTGAACTACAAAACAATGCACAAGGCTTTCTCAGGAGCAAACTTTTCTGTACTGGTTTGTTATTCCTATTGCTCATGGTATTTGATTACGAACAGCAGTTGTTCCGAAACCTGTACGTAATATACTACTTTAGTAGTCGTCCCGTAAACGCGTCTACTAGACGCCTTACGAGACACAAATTATGGAGCTCGAGCTAACGATCAATATGCTGCAGGAAAACACAATCAACATGCCATATATTAATACTTCTCAGTTTTTCCTGTTCATGAGAATAAGTGACTTCACGTACCGGGCTACGGGATAATGCGCGTGCGCAATATTTGCTCCACCTGATAAAAAGCACCTATGAAGCCTTATTTTTGATGTTAAAGTTCAAAGGACAAGCTAGTGGCTCTCATGTGCGTTTCCCATATTACTAACCGTAGATGGCACGGAGTGGACATTTACTGTACGTCTTTGAGTCTTTTGCCAGTGATTGCCAATCGCTGATTGCGACCTCAATGCATCCAAAATGATCCCATATATCGCTCCGACTACCATCTGAAGCAATTGAATACGAAGTCGTATAAAAACCGATATGGTGTATTCAATAGTTTAGCCGGGAAGCCATTTTTCGGCACATCGAAAGTGTAGTTTGAAACACCTGATGTGCTTCGATCCCAACTGAGAGCCTGCGCGAATGCTGTGAAGCACATTCCGCATCATGCTAGCATTTATTTAACAAGCATAGGTGCTGAACCGCAATGCACGACGTGATGTCAACGCACTCACCTGATCGGAATGGGAACCCATCTCACATTGTATTCACAACTGTTTCCTACTGCATTATACTTAAGTACAAGCCAGAGTCTAGTTAAGCGACAATATCCCCCTAATTCATTCCCGTATTCTCCAGATCGAGATGAAGCAACGAGTTTTCGTCGCGACACTTTTCGCAACACTGGTCGTTTGCACTGCTGTAACCATCGATCATGACAAAGTTCAGGCATTTCCTCAACCTGAACCAGTCACCGCCTCTGAAAAAACTGCCATCAAGTTCAAGCCTCGACTGTATACTCCACGACACGTCTGCGTTCCATATCCTGCCGTAAATGCTGCAGGAGAAGTCAGTGGCGGACTCAAGGGTACGAATGGAAATGACGCGTGCAAGTACTCCATTCAGGGCTCCCAGGTTTACGGTCGAGCTGGATGGTACAGGGATTTGTGGGCCATCATGTACACTTGGTACTTCCCGAAAGGCTTTTTTGCAGACTTCGCGTCAAAGCGCCACGACTGGCAGAACGTTGTTGTGTGGATTAACAATCCCGACTTGGAGTGGCCCAAGATCGTCGGAGTTTCCATGTCCAATGTCGACTCTGAGTATACCACTAAGCTCGAGATGATGGCATATTATTTTTCTGGTTACCGAATGGAGGGTACGAGGGGCTACCGTAGGAGCATTTACGGCTCTGCCACATCCCTCCGATTTGCATACGAGATGATACTGACCTCTCCGTATTTGGATTTCGCCGATGAGGATGGCGAGTATCAGAGCTTGATTATGTGGGAACAGCTCACGGATGCGGCTCGTGCTGCTTTAAATGATAGTAGCAACTTTGAGGAAAGAGAGATCCCGTTCAGTGACGAGCACTACATGGATCACCTTGAGATGGCGTGGCCTCTTTAGTTTTAAACCTCTACCTGCGATATCGTAAGATGTTGACTGGTCTCACGGTCTGCTTCTGCAAAATCTAATACTACTGTAGAGATTCCTTAGCTTCTGGTAAAATCCTGCTCAACTTTGAAAACTACCTGTGTGGCCATGTTCACTGACGATGAAGGGGGTAGTCCAGAGCCGAATGTGATTCAGGATAATCTGAAAAAAGTTGTTGATAGTAAAGTCTGTGCAACTATTTCTAATAAGGGAGATTGCCAATTTAGTAGCCTCGCTACTTGCTGTACTACCAATGCTGGCAATGTATCCATCCTGTTGAAGATTTGCCAAAACGAAAACAGCCGGGTTTTGTTGAGAATTCTCTGGATTTTATACCCAGAGTTTTAGCAGAGGTGCGACGCTGCCTAAAAAAAAACTCTCTTCTTTATTTCTAATACTAAGAAAAAAGGCTTGGACTCTCTTTGTTTCGGCGTTTTACTGTATGACTCGATATGCCTGTGATATCAGCGAGTCACACGAATTTACTAAGCCAAAGTGGTGCTATTCCCTTTGAATTTAGGTGGGCTGTCTAGAGATGTAATTTCTTCACCATACAAAGGTTGTCATAATTACCTCCTATAATAAATTTCTTCTACACACTTAGAATTACCCATGTAAATGTTGCTTGTGTCGGCCAGGAGCAACATTCATTACCCAATAACCCAGTGAATGTTACCCCAAACAATTAGGGCTAAATAAAAAATTTGATTGACTCTTCGGGTTTTGCTTAAACCGAAGAGTGAGCTTGTTTATGGTGGATCTAAAAACTTAAATTCAAATCTCGTCCACAGGCACTACCGATGGTTACCATCTCCGGAAGGTAAAAAAAAAACAGCGTGGATCCTAGAAAAAACGAAATTCAAAACACGATCGCATGGTAGTACCGATGTCCCTACATTTGGCGCCTCCTTTTCGTTGGTGGTAGAGCAATGGACGTCTCAATCTCTTCCGGATCTGGCTCGCCTCCCGGTTGCTTCGCTTTTGCTACCGTGAATTCTGGTCAATCATATAGATATTTTCTTAAACTGTGGTGCTGGCACAATACGGAGTTGGTCCTCGTTACGACTGTGAATTCTGGCCATGCAAGCATCCTACTGGAAATTCTAGCACTTAGATATTCCTTAGCTTTGGTGCTGGCGTAATACGGAGTTGGTCCTCGTTACGACTGTGAATTCTGGCCATG